ATGCTTTTATGCTTTTGAGCATCTTATTTGAATTATGCAGATAATTTCTTATGCTTGTTTGTCTCTAGAAAAATCATCCTACTTTTTCTTAAACAGAGGACAAGGACACCTTCACTGAGGCCCCCTCAGTGCTAATTTACAGGTCAGCTGGCTGAGCTACAGATGTCCTAGGAAATGAGTGTCTGTATAGCGCTTAAAGCATTGGTTTTGACCTAGTAAACCCTAAACAGACTGATGCCTTCTTACCTGAGAAGCCACTGCTGTCTCTGTGTCAACTGGATGCTAACTGTTTGTTGAGAGTCCATCTGTACTGAAGTATTTCTTCTCGCAAGGTTGTGAAATGTCTCAGGTTTATTCTTATAACACACTTTCTCAGTGGGCTTCTGGCAAGCACTAAAGCACAGAAGATCAAGATCTGGGATTTCTAGAGGACTACATACTCTGTATTTTCAATACACAAGTTTTGGAATACAATTGGTTGTATAAGAAAGGAAGAGAAGTGCACTGCTGAGTTTTGCAATTAATACTCTCCAGGAAAGAAGAAGGGAGGGAATATTGCTGGCACTTAGACTGGGGGGGGTGGGGAGAAATCATTTTATAGTTAAACCCATTCAAATAAATTGTGAATAAAAACAAGACAGTACACACAAGTCACTAGGCTGAGCATATGGAAAATAGGTGTTATTCCACCTGTCTCTGCATAACATTGTCCAAACTGTTAGTTAAGAAGGTAAATGCAAGAAGAAATGTTGCCTGATTGTTTCACGCAGGCCTGCTGAAGTCACTGAAGTTACAAACCCAAACAAGATTTGTGAGCCCATAGGAAATGGCCTTGTAAAATCAATGGAAGCCTTCATGAAAAAATCTAAATAGAGTATCAGACAGTTTGGATTATTGTTTTTCCTCAAAATGCACCATTTTTTCTTTGTGCCTTGTGCACTGGGAATTTCAGTAGTGTGGACTGGTAACTATGGTAGTCATTAATAAAAAAAAAATGAAAAATACTATTTTGGGAAGTAAATATTCTGTTTTGAAAGCTGACATTGCCAGTTTTCACCAGGAGAACTGAGCTTATAAATGAGAAACAAAGAAGATAGTTGTAACATCTTATATGGAAATACATCACAACTTTGTCAAAATTACAGTTACATTTTTTCAAAAATTTTGTGTATTGCATCAGGCAGTTGGAATTTTATATAGATTTTTACTGATATAAAAAACAGCATATATGGGTTGTTCATAATCTGCACTGCTGAGGGAGAGGCCTATAACTCTTTGGTGATCTGTTTCTCGGGAGCAGCTATTGAATTTGAATTGTTCCATCACTTTAAATTGATGGATTAGAAAAGATTTGCAAAATACACTGACTTCTTTATCTGAACCAGATGCAGTTTAGATTTAACTGTTGTGTAAAATAAAAGAACCCCAGCTACAGCAAATGCAATTGTATCTGACAGAGAAGCATGCAATCCTTTTACTTCATTATATAGCAAAGAAATACAATTTACATGTCAGTGGGATCAAATGAAGCCACCAAATCCAAAACAATTACGGTACTTGAGCAATGCTTTACATTATTAAAATAGGGAAGTTGAAGGAAAGAGCAATTAAGTATACCAAAATGCTTTCTATGGGGATGAAAGATGCTATGATAACACAAGTAATCATGTGACAGGCTAATGAACCCATAACACTTTTTATTAAAAAAAAAATCTGCTATTAGAAGTTGCGAAACACCAACAGTCTGGCAGTGTTCAAGGCCAGGTTGCACAAAGCCCTCATCAACGTGGCCTAGTGTGAGGCATCCCTGCCCATGGCAGGGGGGTTAGAACTAGATAATCTTAAGGTCCTTTCCAACCCTAAATATTCTATGAATCTACGATTCCCTTTGCAATCTCACTTTGGACTCTCCCCCATGAAATGGCACATCAAAGATGGTTGAGTGTGTTCAACCAAAAAAGGAACATGGTTTTTGTAAGAAATGCTTTGGGGTTTCTGACCAGCTCTTCCCTCTTTGCAAATGCAAGAGTTTCAAAACTGTTTCCTGAAAAGAGAGGCTATCAACAACACTGCAATAGACAATTCTATTTGTTTTCAATAAGGTAAATGTAAATACTAGAAAGAAACCACAGTGATAACACTTCAGAAATTTTGGTATTCATGTAATGAAAGAACAGAGAATTATATGCTTTCCACCATAAAAATCCAGAGTAAGGTTGGAAAAAGACCCCCTGAGGCCCAGCTAGCCCAGTGTTTTGGGGTCAGGCTGCTTGGGAACTTGTTCAGCTGAGTTTCAAATATATCCAAGGACAGAAATTCCACAACTACGTTACTTCAAGCATTCATGGCCCTGTAGATAGGACAATGGTGTGAGACTTAAATCCATTACCGGTGGTCTTAAGCAACTTGTTACAAGTCTTTTATGTGACCTTCAGCTTTTCCACTTGCGAAGCTAGCAGAATTATTCAAATCTGTACGTTCTTTGAGATCCAACTTATTGCATTATAAACACTGTGTAAATAATAATATACTCAAAGATGCTATCATTGCAAGATAAATATTTTTAAGTCTTTGGATTTCACTAGGGAAGGAATGAAACAAATAGGGAGAAACTGCATTTTATATAAACCAGCAGACCACTTTCAACAACAGCCACAGCAGCCTCAACTCATAGAGGCCTCAACTACTGTTAACTTTAGCTCTTGGTTTCTTTCTTACTGCTGATACTGGTGACTTTTACTGCTTAGGGTATGCAGATTTCACCCTAGACTGGCATCCTTTTCATCATGTTCTCAACGTTTAAATTAATGACTAGTGTGTTCATTTTGGTTATCTTATTCTCAGATTTTATAAGAAAATCACCAATTTATTTTTCTTTCATATTAGACTGTAGGTATTGCCTTTCTGCCCAGAATGCTGAATCCTTGGGTGGCATTCTCATCAGTAGTACTGCATGTAAGGACTCCATTTCCCTGTTTGTTATGTGAACAGCCTATGCTTAGAAATTCATCAACCCTACTTAGACTGTGAAGGTGAAAATCCCAAAGCAGAGAGATCTCTGTTTCATCAACTTCTGCTTCTGCTGGAATTTTGTTTAAAGATAATTCTTTTAATTCCTCATGTCTCATCCTGGACACTTTTTTGCAGATAAGTGTGAATCACCATGACTTTGCAACATTGTGACTGAGGTGACAGATATTACAATGTCAAATTCAGGATTAAGTTGGATTTAGTTCCACCTGTCAGAAGTGTATCAAATTTCAAAGAAGAGTACCCACCTGAGGGCTCACAGGATAGGTAGCTCACCAATTACACAGCTTGAAATTGTGACCCCTGAAATCACAGAGCTTTTAGGTCACAAATGCCACAAGATTTGGAGTCATGCAATGCTACCCTTTCGTATTGCCACCACGGCTTTCTCACATCCCATATCCCCATCTGGCCTGTGGCCACTTCAGGAATGACATTCAAATGTCTGAAATGGGGGATTTCTCCAAGATGAAGCAGAAGGGTGATACAGATACTAAAAACTCCCAAGAGTGTGAGTGAGCCTCACACTCCATGTGAATGGCTCTACTGCCATCCCTTCCTCAGCGACCTTGAGCACACACAGTGTGCATTCAATTTCTGATTTTTGGCATGCAGATGATAAACCACCCTTAGCTCTGTGAGACTTAGCACAGGATCTGAAAATGCTTCAGCAGCCTTTCATCCATGAAGACTGAAACAGCACGGTATTTACACTGGTTGTGTTTGCATGACTTATGCTGTACCCTGCACTGGCATACTCACAGCTTGTTGATACGCTATATTGGGAACCTGCGTGCACTGACATCTGTTCGATTGTAAGAGGAATGAGGCCGTGGCACGGTGATGGCTAATGCAAATAGCCCAGGCCGGTGACAGGACGAGTTGCCCGGGCGCGTTTCACCTGCCGGGTTTCACCTGCCGGTAAAACTCCGCCCACTGAGGCCGAAGAAAGGTAACAAACCGAAGGGCAGGGGAGTTGGGGACCAGCGCTGGGCTGAGCCGTGCTGGGGGCAGGAGAACGCACCTAGGCCTGGCGGGGCTTTCCTGGCCCGCATGGCGAGGTACTTTCCGCCCTGCACCAAGCACGGTTAACCTTTGCGTTACTCCCACTTCTTCCCAAAGGGTGGAAACTCCGAGCAGAAAAAACTCGGGTGGGCCGATAGGAGCGATAAAAGGATGGAAGGTATTTTTAGGTAACGTGAGGTAACCGGAGGCGGCGGGAGGTGACAGGGCAGGCTGTGGGCGGGAAGGGATTTGCTAGCCCGCACCACGAACGGGGCACGCAGCTGCTGTTGCAGTACAGACAGAGGGCCATAACCGCGGGTAGGGCGGGGAGCTGCTGCCAGGGCAGCGAAGCCGAGGAGGCCGGCAAAGGTGCCATGCCCGCGGCCTTCGGCCGTGCCCCCGCTGCGGCTGTTGCCGCAGCAGGGGGCAGAGGCGGTGCGAACAATGGGCGCCGCTGGCCGCCACAGAACAAAGGCGCGGGCGGGCGCAGTGACTTCACTGCCGAGCCCGCCCCCGGCGAACCTGCCCCTCTGCCGTCTCCTAGCAACCGCGGGGACCCACGGGCCCGGCGCGCACCGACCGCGGTGGGGCCCAACGCCTCTGCGGGCGGCCTGGGCGGCAGAGGCGCCGGCTGCGCTCCCGTGCCTATGCGCCCCGGCCCCGTGTCCCAGAGGTCCCCGCGGGGCTGGGCTGCCGGGGGAGGCGGGTGCAGCTGCCGGGCGGTTGTTTCTGTGAGGGAGGTGCTCGGCGGTCGCCGCTCCCCGCGCACTGTCAAGTGCCTCCCCGCGGCCGGGCGTCCCTTGCGCGCCGGGCTGGAGGCGGATGGAGGCAGCGGCGCTCAGCGCTCGGCCGGGACCGCGCCGCTGCCTCCGCCGCCCGGGGGCTGCCCTTTGCGAGGTGCAGGGGCGCGGCGGGCACTGCCCCTGAGATGCAGTGTTACGTGCCCGCCCCGCCGTGCACCCTACCTGTGCTGGGCCCGCTGCCGCTCCTCCCCTGGCCCCGCCGCCGCCCCCGCGGGGGCCGGGACTGAGCGCGCCGCGGCGCCGAGACGCGGCCCCGAAGAGAGGGAGAGGGAGCTGGAGCGGGCGCGGTGCCGGCCGCTGCGCACAATGTGGGTGCCGCTGCTGGCGTGCCTCACCGCGGGGATCATGTCCCTGCCCAAGTGTCAGCGCGGCCCCGGACCCCTCCTGGGAGCTGCCCGGCTGCTGGCGGCCGTGCCGGGACTCCGCCAGCACCGTAAGTTGCCGAGCCCCTCGGGCTGCTCGCCGTGCCCGTGGCTGGTCGGGTTGTACTTGGGTACTTGGGGTTGGTTTCCGCGAGGGGCCAGTGCGCTGGTTGGGTGCCATGCTCGGGTTCGGCGGCTGTCCTCGGGGCACAGCCATGAGAGCCGGGGCTGCTCGGCGCCGCAGCACGCACTGCCCCGGCCGGCCGGCCGGGAGGAGCAGGCGGAGGGTACCTGCGGGGAGAGCCGGGCTGGAGAGGCCGGCCCCTGCCCAAACGTCACGCTGCTTGAGTGCTGGTAGTGCGAGCCTGTGACCTAATGGTACGTACCGGAGGCGTTTAGCCTTTACGGAGCCGTGGCAGCTCCCCGGGAGTGGGTCCTGAAGTGCCCGCTCACCCTCTGGAAGCCTCCGAGAGGCAGCGTTCAGGACCTCCGGGGGGGTCACAGGCTTTGGATGGACCATTCTTAGGGATGAAAGCACTCGTGTTATATCGTTTATGTGGCATTTAGTGGCTGGGTTTAAAATGGATAGAGTTACTTGGAAGTGGTCTTCACCTTGTGTAACGTATGTGCTGACAAGTCCCGAGAGCTGTGGTATGCTGGTGGCAAAGGCTCTGGTACATTTGGGTAACCCCTCAGGTTGTAGGAGGTCTTCCTCAACCCCCGGGCATCCGCTTTGATGCATGCAGGCTGAGAGGAGTTTGTGCAAAGGTACCTTAGATCATGCAGTATTTGATCAGACAGAGCTATCAGGTTAGTCATGTACTTCATAAAGGATCAAAAAAGCACATCAAGTTGTCAATCACTTTATTTCCCCCCCCCTCTTATGGAATAATTGAGTATTCCAAGTTTAAGCCTGGAGTTAATTTAGAATGTTAACACGTAACCTCTAAGAATAAGACTAACAATGGAAACAGTGTATTAGTCTTAAGTTCTTTATTGCATATGTGACAAATTCATGCCTAATTCAGTAGGATTTGCCCAGTGCTATTTAAAACAACGGAATAATTTGTTAACTTTTATAATTTGGTTTGCTTTTTTGGCTTCATATTTTGGATTCAAAACCAAACTAAATGTCAATAGGAAAAACGTAATATGATTAAATTTCTTATGAAACATGGCATCTTGTGTTTGGTATCCCAGATTCTTTTTTATGCAGTGCAATTGAGTTGAAAGACTAATTGAAACTTTATGGAGAGGATAGTTCTGTACCCGACTGGGGTGTTCTGCTTGCTCATGAGTATCACTCCAGAGTACACACTAGTGCAAGAAATGCATTGGAAGCGAATGCTGTTGGGGAAGATGATGCATGGTACTTTTGTGCCACAGGATGCTTGCTCTCTCTGTTGTGCTTGATAGTGAAAATAGTGAAATGGTCATGAGTTACGTGTTTCATGTGACAACAGCTCCTAAATTGGGCAGACTGTAACTTAGACCTTGGTTTTTGCTTTTCATTTGAAACCTCTGCTAATTCATGAAAGCTGAAAGTCACACTGAATTCTTTTCTTCATACATAATCACTTCACAGGCTAGAGCAACAATTAAAGCAAGAAGAGGGTTTGTTTTGTGTTTTTGTGAATGAACACATGAAATTTTTCATTTATTGTGTGCGTTTTACTTTTGGTTGTGGTAGCTCTCTCAGCCACTGCAGCACCACCTGGATTCCTTAATCTTCTGTAGGCTGCTCAGAGAATCTGGGCAGCAACTCCATGTACAGCTATTTGTCAGCACAGCTTTGCTGAAGCAGCCACTCCTCTTTGCTTCTGCACTGACAGTGCTCGGCTGGAGAAGAACATCCTGTTGTTCCCATGCCATCAGCAAGTTCAGTTTGTGTGCCGAGTTGGCAGAACCTGTGTATCTGTTGCATGAAATCTCCAGTTCTAAAAGAGAATGGAATTAATATTAAACATACATGGAATTCATGTTTATTTATTCTTGTTGGAACATTTATGGCTCTTCTAATTGAAAAATTAATGGTTTGGTGCTACCTGAGGTATGTGTTCTGCTAACCACATTTTGAGATGCCAGTTACTGCTTGGGAATAAGTCAAAGTAGAACTTGGCCCTGATTTTGAAGTTATGAGGAGCACAAAAGGAAACCTCACAACACTGTTAAGCTTGCAAATCGTAAATTAAGGGTTCTGTAAGCTCGGATAAAAAACTTAGTGTTGCCGCCTTCAACAAAGGGTCACTTGTTCAATATGTCTCACCAAAGGAAATTTGCAGTTCACTAAGCCAACTATAATACATACCTGGCAAGAACTTACAGACTCCTAAGGATGTAAACCAGTGAACTTAATAAGAGCTGGATTCTACAGTAAGAGCACGTGTATGCATTATGTTAACCAGTTGTGTAAATGCCCATTTCAGTGGGGACAGTTAGTTCCCTTGCCTTGTTCAGACACCAAATTGTTGAAACTCTTTAATTTTTGTCTACTGTATAAGCACATGGAATATGTTGGGCTTAAATCCTGAGCAATGATTGGTTAATCAAGGTTAACAGAGGACATTGGTTCAAATCTCAGCAATGTCTCAAAAACAGTTTTTATGTACATTAAAATTTGAAAAATTAGGTATGTGGTGCTTTCACAAATATCTAGGTGATCATTGCTATATGAAGCTGAGGTAAACAGTTTACTTGTGATGTGCACACAGGGATGGGATCATGTGAACATCTGTCCCTAATTTAAGAGTTGGAGAACAGTCACACAACAATTCTCTTACACAGTCCTGGCTGACAAGTCTCTTGACCATTTAAAAGCTGGTATTTTCAGTCTTCTTCAGAGTGTCGTTTGAAACAACTGTTTAGTGGGTTTGGGAAAGGAGAGGATCTGTGATCACAGCAAGGACAACTGTTAATTGATTTATTCCCAACAGCATGACTTCTGATGCCGAACAGATTCGTCAGTGTTGGTTGACTTATCTGGCCCTGTGGTGTTTTGCCAGTCTTGTCACCTGAGTTTCTCATGTGTGTTCCCTCTAGTTAGAAAGTTCCGTAAGTCCTTACTGTGTTACTTCTCAAAGGAATAGGAAAAGTCAGTCAAAGGAAGAACTGTTTTTGAAGAGAGGTGGTCAGGAAATGTCCCTGCACACGCATAAAAAAGTGAAATAAATAATACATTATTATAGCTTTAACTGGTGTTTGTTGGTTTCTCTTCTATGCTGGCCCATTTCCTTCTGGGGCTCAGTGGAAGGAACTGTGTTGTATGGGATACTCAGCACTGAGACAGTTCTGCTTTTCCTAAGGCTTGAAGCAATCCAAGAAAAAGAGAAAACCCATTTTTAATTTCCTGAGTTTGCGTGGGTGATCTGCTCCTGAGGGGTAATGGACTATCTTCAGGAAAGCCAACCTGGGTGTTTGAGAGGGCTGTAGGTTGCAGTTCTAAGGAATAGCAAGGGGGAGGTTTGTTTATCTGCACATTGCCCAAGGAGCACATTATGACAATGGTATGCATAAATTTGCTTTGCAGATTGAACACTTCCCATAATCTGTTGCAATTTCATGTCTTTTCAGGGGGGTTATGTGGTAATTTATTGGGTTTTTTTTGATTTATGTTTTTTGCAGGTTGAATGGTACTAGTGATTGCATATATAGTATTTACAATGTTTCCATGCTAAAGATGTTTGAGATGGGGTGACACTGGGAAAAGAGAGGAGATGGGCAGTTTGCTAACTAGAAGAGCAATACGCATACTTTTGGTGCTTTGGGAAGTTTTTGTCTCTATGTCACTGAGGTCGTGCTGTTGCTGAAGGAAGCTGTGAAGGCAGCCTGAAGATTATATGTAGTAGGAATTCTCTGTATAGAATTTTGAAGAGGCAGTCGTTTCTTTTCTGGTCCTTAAGCTTTCAAGGACTGGAACTGCAATGACTAAGTAAGCAGGAACAATACTCCAATAGTTAAGAGACCTGAATGAATAACTTTGATTTTGCATTAAAGTACAATCTAAGTGTAATTTATCTCCCCTTCCCAGAGCATCAGAAAGATGTCATCACGTGAGCTTTATGGAAGCTTTAGAAATTATCCATCAAGTAAGCCCTCATCTGGTTGTATGTTCAACAAGAGAACATTAAAATATCAGATTATAATCTCCCTTATACTTCACAAAGTGCATAAATACTGGTAACATTTTTTAATTCCCTAGAAAGAATTCATGATGACATGTCCATGCTAATTGTGTCTTGAATTTGGGACAATTTGTAGGAGGTATGAGAAGATTAACGTAGAATATTATATTTACAAATTGTGTAAGTTGACATGGGCTGCTGATATTTATCCAGACTTAGAAGGTCAGATTTATCATCACTGTTTGTAAGTCCTTTGTTGGGAGCTCAGAATCTCAGTTCTTTAGAATAGGCCTGATGTAAGAAAGATTAGCGTTATCATACAAATAAAATCTAGACTACATACAATAATTATTTATCACCAATGTACGTTTTTAAAACTGCATGTTGCTAAACCATACTTTTGTAGTATTAGTGTAGGTGTATTGTAAGCAGTGATCAGGATTTAATTAGTTCTGTCAGGGTAAGAAGGACAAGGGGAGTGACTTTGTGTCCTAAGCTTTAAAGTTTGCTCAGTGTTCTTAAAAAACATTAATGACACTAAAATCATGTTACATGCACAAGACATAAATGAACTATCATGTGCTTTTACTGTAACTGGTAGGGCAGATGTTGTGGTATTAACCTGGTTTCTCAAGTTGAATGTACTAAAAGCAAAATTCCAGAGAGGTGTATCAATTCCTTTGTGTTAGTAAACTTTCTGTATTTGGATTTGGTTTGTTTGTTTTTTTTGGGGGGGGGAGGGTTTGTGTT